AATTTGCAATGCCTCGTCCGAAACTGTGCAATTCCCATGCTTCGGCGGCTTGATTATGCTGTACACCGAGAGCAATTTGTACAGTTGCAAGAACGTTGGAAAGTTTGGATGGTCATTGCATCCCGCTGCTTGGCGTATGGTGCCAAAAAATTTATAGAAAAGTGAAAAACGCGTCAAAATAATATCTTCGGAAAAAATACATGAGAAATATTTTTGTCTAATTTTTTCCAAGTTATCCACTCGATGTAATCACTTGTGGAACTGACCTACGGAAAAATTGACTGCATAACATTTCGTCGGCTAATCGTAAAGGTTTTTATTATTTACATACAATCGAGATGCACTCTTTGAGATTAATTACAGCAACGCTTGTACGATTTATGAAAACGCGATTAGAAATGTGCTGCGAGAAAAAAACTTGAAGCAGGCAAAAAAGTTACGTCTTTATGTCTTTTAATTTACTTATTTTGCAACTTACCCTCAGTCGTTTTGTATTGTGTAGCCGATTTCGAATAGTCTTCATCAGATGAGGAGAATCGGAGAAGACGAATACTTTTTGGTCGCTGTCGAGAGGGTGGCTAAACCATGTTTTCGTATCGTCGATGGAGCTCGTGACACCCAATATAGCACAAATTTTCTGATTCGTTGACGCGCCATCAGCAATAATCCCGTGAATTTTTACTCCGGTTTCTTCGAGGTAGATGATAGCTTTAACAACTAATTTTGCTAATTCCTCTCCTTTAACGGAATTTTTTGACGCGAAGACAGCAATGGGCTGTGTGTACGTGTCGGCAAGCGGTTGGAACATGAAAACCAAACCATGAGTTGCTTGATCGTCGATGCTCGTCGATTGTGGCCCATTATTTCCGAAATCTGTCAAGCCAACGTACGTCAAATTCCGCGAGCACACTGCCACAGATTTTATTAGATTGATTTCGTCCAACAAAATCACACCGTGGCGTTGCAAAGAAGTTTTACGCTCAAAATGTTTCTTCAGCAGCTGCCAGAAGTTTTCATCGAAACCGCACTTTATATTTATCAATGAAAAATAGCCCCGAATCGTGCGTGTGCAAGGTAGCGGCAGAACGTTATTTTTCCGCATAAACTCGGTAATATGCCGGCGAGCGGATTTTCATTAGTATGCACAATATTATCCACTGTTCTGTGTAGCGTCGGCCTTTTGCATCCTTCTTCGTCGCGGCTTCAACGATCTCTCAGAGTGCAGTTTTTTGAAAATCAGGAACTTTTAAATCGGAAAACTTTCTCTCGAGACTTTCAGCACTTATTTTCGACATTTCATCTTTGGTCTCGTTCAAAGATTGCAGCAGCAATGTTACGCGTGCTTTAGCTCGATTCTTCTTGCGTCTTTCGACACTATTTTTTCGTCGCATTGCCTCCATTTTTTCTTATCTACGGGGTTTGAAGAGCTGAAAACTCGATTCAGCGATTTGCTCTTCTTGAATTGCGCCTCCTTCTGCAATTAAACTTTTCGCAGTTTCGAGCAGTTGTCACTTTTTTTTAGATTAGCGAACAATCGTTCTGGTGCCATCTCTCAAGACCGTCTCTGAACACTGAGTCCGCTTGCGAATGATAAACACTAATGGCGCATATTCCGCTGCATAGGTTCAATTTTCCAAAATTTGTCAAAATATGCGGCAATGCTCCGGTGCTGTCCAAGATTTCCGCAAGCTTTCCTTCTGCGGGATTGACGACGTGTCCATAGACGTGGTAACTTAGCGTTTTGTCGGCATGGAGAATCACACATTTCTCAATCAGTGGTGATTCTACTCCATTTTTCACCAGTGCTCGAGCATGTGAAAACAAGAGACTCTTGCCAAACAATTCTCCAACACTCTACGATTTAAGAATCACAGCCGAGCAGTTTTGCCTATCCTCCACATCACCCACGCAATGGGTATTACCTGAAATACGTTTTGTTTCATTCAACCTATATATATACGGTATACAAGATTCTCTATAAACTTTGGCGAGCAACCCCAAGAATAAACAAATGATAAATCAAAAAAGTTTGCATCACCAAATGCGCATCCCTATTCTTGTATTGGTACATTTGCGATTACTCTCGTCATGAATATGAGCGTACGAACGTGAATCTTGATAGAAGTTAATAGAAAACGAGAAGCATCTTGTTAATAGAAAAACTCCGATAATTCTTAACTTACCCTCGTTGACTATCATAGTTGACAGATAAAATCCTCTTGGTAACTCCGATATTGGCACTGTCATTTGTGCTGGTGCTGATGTTTCGGAGCTCTGTTGACCGTCCAGAGAAATTGTCGTTTCGGTGCGAGTTGAGTTGCAGAAGTAAGGCGTGGCCTTTCTACGAAAACATCATTTGCAGCTAATGATGGAAAAAAGTGATTTGAGTAACATATATTATACCGACCATATGATTGAAGGAGAATTTGAACTGCACATTACCTGCGATTTCTGATTGATCGCCCATATTGTTGATTAGCGCAGTCGAAACAGGAAGCTCATATGATTGCGTCTCTTGGTGAATTGGGGAAGAATCCATTGCGTACTCTGCGACTGAAGCCAATGCCAAAGATTCATTCGATGTATTGACATTGAATATTGTTGGAATAACAGAACTGTTTAGCCGAGGATGTTTAAATGGCACCCGAAAAGATAAATATTATTTAATCAAAACACAAATGAACAGTACTGCGACGACGACGACGATGTCTTCACGGTCTCGCCGGCCGTGGAGGAGCGCGCCGTCGCTTTCTTCCCTATAGATCTCTTTATGGATTCGCGATATTTCTCTCCGAAACCCCGATGGTAGCTCGACTGAGTATTTTTAAGATGTTATGTTGGGCGCCAGGTGCGATTCCACGCACCACGATTCACGAGATCGCAGTATTCTCAGGCGTGGGCTTCTTTGATCAACCGCGGGTGGAATAGGAGAGGAAGCGTAGCGCAATCTTCACACTCAAATGACAGAAAACATAAAATTATATTTCGGTTAAGGCAGATAACATGTGGACGATAGCGTGTTCCACGGCGAACAAGCAGAATTCGAGTACGCGCCACGTGTCACCCCACGAGCGCGATACTCATTCCGTCGCTGAACTGCACGGCAATCCCGATTGAATTCGTACAAGAGTATTCCCCGACATAAGTTGCAGCGAATTCTACCCGAACGGTCAAACGCGAAATACTCGAAACGTCTACGTCTAACAATTAAACAATTAACGCAATTTCCTTACGGTCTACCGCGACAACGCTGGGGATCTTCTCTCACCTCGAAACGCACGAATGGCCTCACCCGTAAACTCGACACAACCGTGGGCCATTAATCCCGATGAAACGCACGTATAGCTAATTCCAAATGGCATGAACTTAACCGGCAACGATAACTACGAGGCTCTCTCACGCGCGAGAGCCACTTCTCAAAACTACGGCACGGTTAAGCCAACGGCGCTCTTGAAATTCCACGCGACGAAATCACCCGCAACGAAATTACGCGAAACGAAATTACTCACAACGAAATTATACGCAACGAAAGTACACGAAACGATATCACACGCAACGAAATTACAAGCACGCTGACTGTCGGCGGCCGTACGTTCTCATCCCCGAGACGGGCACTCGCGATACTTTGCACGGGCCCTCCCGCGGTATAGCACTTGATATTCTTCAATTACGGCGGATCTCATACCGTGGCACAACGCGACTCCCGGGAGGGCCTAGGTATTACCGCGATCTTATTTCGAGGAGGGCTGAGCAGTGGCCTTACAAATTCTTCTTGTTCCGGCAGCTCGTCGCTCGGCTCGCAGGGCTGGATGTTGCCTGGATGGCGGCTCGCACGACAGTGGCGTTTCCTTGGTCCGGCGGGACCACGCAGGGCCCACGCGCGCCCGCGCGCCGGTTTCCCTAGCCTGGTCGGTGCTGCGCCCTGGCCTGCCAGCGATCCCTCTAGGCGATCGCCGCGCTCTACTAGAGCGCCCCTCGTCACCGCGCCCATCCGCCGGCGGTAGTTTCGAAGTCCGCCTCCGTGAGACCGGCTGTCCAGGCCGCGTCTCATCGTCCGGTTCCTCGACGGCCAGGCTGGCCGGGCCATGGCTCGTCGACCGGGGGCGGTACACCGGTGGTGGCCCCGTTCCTCAACGGGGACCTTCGTCGGGGCGTCCCCCTCTCCGGGTCCTCCGTATTCGGGCTGCAGTGCTCTCGTGCCGCTTGTGACGCCTTGACAGGTCAGTTGATCCGGCTGTGGGCCCCAGCGTGACCCGCCCGCCGACCTCATGCCCTCGGAAGCTCCTGGTTGTCCAGCCGTAAGTCCCTCGACGCGGCATACGCTGTTACATTCGTCGTGACCCTGGCCATCTGCTCCGCACTCCCTCGACCTGTAACGCTCGCAAAAGATCTTAATCCTAACCTAAATGTTCGCTCTCCGCCCGCCTCGGGCGGAGGCACCATCCCTGACGCCTCCCTCGGCCGAGCTCCCATCTGGGGTAAGGAACGCGACATTTGTCACGTCACAGTACATAAAAATCAAATTTGACATGTTGCGAAGGAATCTCCTGAGAATCACTTACTCCAGCAATGATTTTTCCGTTAACATCTCGTTTCACATACTTTGTGATCACGTACTTAGTCTCGAAATGCGTTTTGCAAACGAAATGAGACGTCTTCAACTCTATTTCACCGAGTATTGCAGCTTGCCACAGTTTTAACATTTCGGAGTCAGCCGGCACTTTGAACAGCGAATTATTGGTCGCGTTCTTATAACTCGACTTGCATACACCGCACGATCTCCCCATTTTTCACACATTTGTCAAAAATACTAAACATTAATTATACGTATATTCCGAGATTCCGAGATATAATTACGCAAACGACGCTAACAAGAAGAGCAGAGAGACGCTGTTAAACGAGAAATTTACAGGTTATGTCACTCGGGGGCACTCGATAGCAGCGACACGTCTAGACGATGCGAACAACTAAAAATTGCTTCAATATCTGAGTCACCCCCACCACTGAAATTTGCCAGAGTCGCAAGACCTGTATGTAAGACCGTGGGTTATAATAATATTCTCTATGCATTTGAATTGCTATTAAAATTATAATGCGGTACATCTGCAGCCTCTTTCTAGAATTTCACGCCTTATATTACTTAAAGCACCGTCTTTCAAACCAGTCCTCTTGTTTGCCGTATGATGTCATGATATTTTTGAAAGAACAAACCTCGGGCAATAGGTCGCATTTCAAAATTCAAATGCATGAAGGATTTTCTGCGTATTGTTATAACCGAATATGAATCGTTTTTCGTGAGAAGCCTTAAAAATTATTGTTTTTAAACTCGCCAATGTTTCATTTAAAAAACATTCATTATTTCATGCACAATATTCAAATTATAACAATAAATATATTTTTTTCGTATGAAAGTAATAATAATAATAATCAAAAAATAAAGATTAATCCGCCAATGATAATTTAAAACAGGAAACTTTATTAAAATCGACGCAAATGGCAATATCGCTTAATCACGACGTTTCGACCCGGAGGATTGGGTCCTTCTCAAGTGTCTATAAACTGGCATATGGAACTATCGCTCTCTCGTGAACATCTTAGGAATATAAAGATTTTGACCGAATAATAATAATAATAAATATGTTGCATATAATGTATAATAATATAAAAAGTACTAAAAAAAAACAAGAAAGACGACGGGGCGCGAACTCGCAATCTTCACACTTGTAGTTCGACGTCTAGTCCGCTACGTCACGCTTGAGCTTTGAATGATGCCTCACTGCAGTGGTACTAAAAAAAAAGAGCGCGTGATTCACGAGTTACAATTTCTCGTAAATGCTTGAGAGTCGCATCGTATAGCATCTGTTACTTCTATACAAATACTACATTCTTACAAAAGTTCGGCAAAATCGATGATCCGGAGAGTTAGTCTTTCCCTTAGATAGAATAACGAAGCTGATTATGTACACAGTGAATAATGCGTGAGAAACTAATGTACATGGCTTATAAATAAATAATTTATTGAAATAAATTTATTTTGAAATCGTGGAAATGATAAAAGTAAAGACAGTTGTTGATAAAAAAGATAGCTCTACAATACTCTACAGTATTACTTCTAGCAATAAAAAATATGAGCAATGTATAATTGTTCAAGAAAAATATTGGAAATAGGAAAAATGTAATATTTACTGTTAAAATAGAACATTTATAGAAGTAGTCTACTTAGAAATAATTTCGTTACTTTATAACCGCATTTCGAATATATTAACATACAAATGTCATGTTTTTTAAGCCATTTTACATAAAAAGATAAATATTTTAAGAAAAAGTTTTTTAATATTACGAAGTCAATTATTTCTTATATAACGAAAATGTTCTTAAAATATTATTTTTATTTATTATTTATTATTATTTATATTTATTTTTTATTTATTATTATTATTTTAGCAATATTCTATGCATATAGTTATTTACGGTTTTTAAAAATGATTTCAGATATAAGCAACAAGGTTCTTAAACAAATCGATTCTGATTTCGAGAAGGCCGGACAAGCCAAAGTTTGGTCTGGATTATCACAAATACCGATTACACCGGAAGACTTACGATTTTTATATTTCGGCGATAAGCCAGTGTCAGAGGAAACTTTAATGGATTATTCTAATTTTCTCGGCGACGAACTCTTTTATCGCGGCACTATGGAAATAGCCGACATCCAAACAAAGCTAAATAGTGTAACGTATCTATATCAATTTTCATACAAGAGTGAAACTTCAGTCGTCAGGAAATTACTGGATATAAATCTCTCAGGTATTATCGATAATTAATTTAGGATTACATAAGAGAGAGTTTTTAACCCTAAAGAATACGTTTATACAGGTATATAATTTAAAAAAATATGCTTAAACATATGAAAAACATTGCATTTTAGAAAAAAAGTTCAAAAAGGTGTTTGGTTTTGAGGGGGACACAAAATGATAAAGTCAGTATAAACCTTGCGTGACAATTCCAAAGTTACGTGAAGGTCATATTAAAATTTTTAAATAAAAACTCTAATTTTTTGTTGTAGATTCTTGTAGCTGACATCAAGACTTTTTCAAATTACTATGATTAAATTGAATTTTGTTCAAGATTTTCTGAGTTATGAGACATTAAAGTTTGAGAATCATCGGCATTAACGTTACTCAATGTACACCGTGGGAAGATTGCTTGATTTTGTAAAACATCATGTAAAGACCGTATTTATAATCGGATCTTATATTTAAGACCGTCTTAAGTACGATCTTAAGATGTTATGAATAATCAATCATAGGCCGGTATTCATAATCAGATCTTATTTCAAGACCGTCTTAAGTAATATCTTAAGATGCTAATACGGTGGCCGGTATTCATAGTAACTCGTGAATCACACGGTTCTTATATTTAAGACCATTTTAAGTACAATCTTAAGATGTCATTAACCAATCACAAAGCCGTATTA